TACTCCCCTATCCTTCATACAGAGATGCCTAATAAACCGTCCACAACCAGAGGGTAGACAGGCAGTAACTACACTATGGACTGTTATTTTAGCGCTCAGAGAAGTGAGTTAGACACTCGGAGTAAATAGGGTATTATCTGGGCCATCCCTTTTTTTAAGGGACGTCCATTGACTCTCGTTTGGGTGCGCTTCCACGCAAACCATTGTAACTTGCTTGGTGCTGTAGTTACTGTCTGTCTACTCTCTGGTTCCTGGTTCTCAGTCCTTAAGAAGAAGTTGGTTGTAGACGATTTATTAGGCATCGCTGTAAGAAGGATGGGTAATAAGATACAGATGCGGTGAGTGGGAGATATCAATCGCAGGGAGGCTCCCCGCCAACCTCGCACACGTGATCCACGTTCCCAATTCCTCTCCGCCTCTCACCTATAAAAGTCCACTTAAACAAGCTAGAATATATTACAGGTGCTTTAAGACTGCACCTATGAACCAATTGATAGTCTTGAATCTCACTGTAGGTTCAATTAAAAGTCAGGACAAGGAAGAAGGAAGCCCCGTTGGTTAATTAATTGTGTACAGTGTTTGACATTTGAAACTGCTCTTAGGGGTATGTGCAAATGAGAATATGATAGTTAACCCACCATTCTGCCGAGATGGATAATCTTAGTGAAATTGCGATGATAACAGAGAAGAACCCAAAAGAAACTTTTGGATGATTTACGGTTGTAGCGTCCCGAGAAGTCAGTAAGTGAAGTTGGATAGATGTATTCTGAAGACGACAGGGCAAATTGGCATGAGCATCACTCGAAGTCCCGTCCACGTGTACAAGGGCCAGACAAATTCTAAAGTAACCGCCGAACGTCATATAGTCACATAAACAGGGCATTGCAACGGGTGATTCGTTTAACTAATTAGTAGCATAAAAAGGGCGTGCAGTAGATAACGGATGTAGATTTCAGCCTCAGCTCTTCCGTTGTTGAGGGGTTTGCGATTCTGCAACACGAAATATGTGTACCTCATTTCAGGGTTGCTTTTCGATATCGCCAGCTTAATGTTCCGAGACTTCCCACACAATGCCTTGCTTACTATTCATATTTAAGGTTAAAGTGTTGCTGTGGCCTTGCCTTTAGGCCAGCCTACTTAGCAGACCGCCGCCATTCACTCAGCCAGTCTAATGAGCGAAATTTTACAATGACGCCTAAATGAACACTACCGAGAACGCCAGCTATTGCGTCGTGGTCAGTGCTAAAAAAACATCCATCTGCCAGAAGAGCCAATTGTGAAAGATTGGCCGACTAAGGGAGGGCGTTTGACTTTGAAGTTGATTACCGATCTGAACATACTGAATCACATCGTACGCTTACTTCGACTTTGAACAATGTTCAGCAAATGGGACTTCCGTTAATCAAAACGGAGATTTTGCCCGATTTTATTATACCATTCCGAGACTTCCAATTTGATCCTAGAAGACAAATGGCATACTTATATGCTTGTTATCAACCAATAGTATTTTTGAATAATAAAGGTTCAGTTAATTCGACAGAATCAAGATGGACACCGAAGAGACTCCCTTCCATTCAAGTAGCCGAATGGACAAAGTATTTGTAGCGGGTTTGGATTTCATTTCTTTAGGACTATCCGAAGAGAGGCTTCCTGAAAGACTTATTTAACATCGTTAGGTTGCAATGAGTTAGACGTGTATAAAGAGGAAGATGTTCAATTGGGGGGAGAAAGTGCCTCCTCCTCAGGGTCCTTGAGCATCGCATTTTAACTGAAATTCCGCCTCCTCCCTACAAAGCACAAATTAAACACTTAATTTGTGCTGCACAGTCCCTCTTCTCTTTCGAGCAACGTCCCTGATACTAGTCGTTAAGCCTCCTGCTGTATCATCGGGGAGCATCGTTTCCTCTACTGCCGCACACCACACATCTTTGTGATCCACAGGTAGATTGTCTGTATAGAGGTGCATCTTATTGTGGTGGGGTGTTATTGGACGTGCAATCCGCATGAGATGCTTTGTCGGGGACAAAACCTTAAATACGTGATAGGGCGTCCTGCTCCAGGGATGGTAGAGTTTCCGATGTTTGTCTGGAGGAGGAATAGCTCTGCATACTTGGACTAATTCGGTTTTCTCGCTAACATTAATGTAAACCCGCATGCCGTGGAACCTTTTCTGCAGCTGTTGCCGTGTTGCATTGAGCATCTTCCTCAGGCCTACTTTTGACCTCACAACTAACTTGCGAGGAATTGTCGGTCATCATTTCTTTGCTGGAGAAGGCGATACTCGTAGGAAGTCTTACAGTGCATCCTGCAAGCATCTCAAGGATGAAAGTCCCGTCGAGGAATGGGTGCTAGTGTGTCGACTTTGGATTAGTCTTCCAAGAGGTCCCCAAGCGTACGATCTCCTTTCTCTACTTATACATTATCCTAGATGTGCATGTTTTGTGATACCCAAACGTTTTGTACAGTTCTGCAGAGTCAACTTTCAAAATTGGGACCTTCATCGCTAACGTGCAGATCCGTGTTCACCGTGTTGACAGATCCAGCAATTGGAGTAAAATAACATAAAGTGATTTCTACTTCTGGTCATGGGAAGCAGGTCGACTACGTCGATGTCTGCTCTCTTTCTTGCCTAGGAATCCTGTAGGCGTAGGCTGTAAAGGATCCACTGCATTGCAATGGGGTCCTTGGAGTTAAGACATGTGGCGCATACGCTGCAGACATTGAAGACATCTGAGGTTAGCAAGACCCACCAATAGCTCTTTTTTTGTAGCTTTTAGTAGCTTCTGACATACCACGGGGCCAAGTTGCCTACATGAATCCAACAGGACTGTCTGTGTTAGCGAATTTGGCAACTTGAGAGGTTTAGAGCTCATCGCACTGTCTCTGTACCGCATCATGACATCGTCAATGGAGAGTTCCTTTCACATCTGTCCTTTTAACCGAACGATTGACGGTCGTAGTCCCTAGTACGACAGGATTGGCTTTGCTTCCAATGATGTATCACTTAACAACAACGTGGTTACTACTTTTCCTATAACGTACTACAAAATCATACTATTGTAGTTCTTCTCTTTACCTATATACGAAGTGGTCGGTCTTCTTTATCGTCTTCAGCCTGGTTAATGCTTAATGGTGTTTCCATAACGAACTGCTTTCCCAGCAGGTAGTGTTTAAATTGTCTGACCATTGAGCAAATGACAAACTGTTCCCGTTGCGTTGTGGTCTTCTGCCTCATTACTTTTCTTTGTTTGGATTCGCGCTCGCATAAACGATGACGTTTTATGCTCTGGGAAAGAACACCGCCTACTGGTTCGTCGCTTGCATCTGTATCCAGCACGAATTGTGGAGCATCGGCATCGGAGTTGGGTAAGACCAAGACCGGTGCCACGCTGAGAGCGTACGTCAACTCCTTAAGCCCTTCTGCATGTTCGTTTTCTTAAGGGAACTCCATTTTCTCCTGTTTTTCGATCAGATTGAGTTGCGGACTCGCGATTTTGGCAGAACCTCTGACAAAACTCCGATGATAATTTGCCAAACCAAGGCAGCCGCAGAGTTCCGTATGGTTGGTGAGTGTTGGCCACGTCCTCACTAGCTTTATTTGATCTTCCGTGACCACTATATCACCAAAAAAATAGTTTGTGCCAGAAACGGGACTGAGTTGTAAAGAAAACTGCATTTCTTTCGAATCAGCATCAGACCTACTTCTCGAAAGCAATTGAGCACTAATCGGAAGTTGGAAGGATTGGAGGATGTCGTCCAGATGAATAGCGCAATGTTTCGGGAATATCCAGCGCAGTTCCTCCGCATTATTCGTCGAAATGTAGTCGCTGCATTGCAAAGTTTGAGAGGCATAGTTTGGAGCTCGTAGGGTCTATTTGATTTAATGAAAGGCGTTTTATTTTCATTCTTTCCCTTCCCTTCTACCTCCGCCTGCAAATAGCTATATTTCAGGTCTAATGTCGAGAACCACCTTGATCGATGTAGCGAACCCAACAAGTCGTTAATGTGGGGTATGAGAAACGCATCCTTTTCGGTAACTGCATTGAGTCTACTATAATAGGCGCAGAGATTTTGGTTGTTTTTGCTTTTATTCACAGATGCGTTTGGCGAGGTCCAGGGCCGTGTGCCAGGAGGAGTGAGTCTTTGGTCTGAAGGTTTGGAACTGTGCACCATGGTAAGATTGCCTGCAGCTGGAGTTCTTGGCGTTCGACAACCAATAAGTCAAGAAGCAGGCTGATTTCGCACGTTAATCCGCCAAAAAAGGCAGAAAAGACTTGGAGAAGGACAGACCTTTTTTTTTGGGATTCGTCGTACAGCCATTCCTAAAATTTCAAGTCTTATTGAAAGGGTGGTAGATCTGTTTACTCTGCTACCATTGTAGCAGGTTTGGAATTTTGGTCCTTAAGGCCATCAGAAGAGATCTTAATTGGCACCCTAAGGTTTTGATGCGTCAGACGTATACAAAAAGGAAAGGTTCACTCGGAGCAGTACTGAGTTTAATCTAATCCCTACGTGACTGACAGTCACTTTGGTTCTTGTCTTGCTTTTTGACATGTGGCCTAGTATCCAGATCAGACGAAAGCTACATGTCTTGCCCATTCTTGCGGTACATCTTCATTCAGCAACTTAGCATTATTTACTACGATTTAGGGAGCTGATTGCAGGGTTCCAAGCAGGCACAGCATGACCATTATTGGCTTTGGACCTAACATAGGGGCTAGCTTGCCCAATCCTGGTAATTAGCCAGCAATGTGATCGCAAACGAAGTAGGTGGCGAATCGGCCGGCAATATGCGAGCTACCATTGTAGCGTCCTGAGACTTCCTAGCCAGTATAAGAAGTCAGTAAGTGCAGCTGGATACATGTATTCCGAAGGCGATGGGGCAAATAGGCCTGAGCATGGCCCGGAGGCCAGTTCATGTGTACAACCATCAGACAAATCCTAAAGCGACCGCCAAACATCAGGCAGCCACATAAACAAAGCGTTATAACTACTACACAGCCACAAATTGGTGACCAAATGTATTCCGCATGTTCCAACTCTAATGACCTGAAATGGGAACGTAATATATACTAAAGTGTTTAAATTGACCTTTGGAACGCAAAGTCCGTGCGTGAGGATCGTGAGGAATCCCCTTCCGGGTGAAATCTGCTATTCGGCTCACCAAAAATCCTCTCCCCGTTCTTCCTGTATTCAATGCCTACTAAATCTACTGCAGCTAATCCTCTCTTGAAGTCCGTGGTTTAAGAGCATAAGGGTAGGCATGCAGTTTCTACAGGGAAGGCCACAAGGATTAAAATTTAACATCGGGTTTTTGCAGCTTTAAATAATAACTGTTAATCTGTGCAAAATTAACCCAAGCTATACTATATTTTAAAAAGTTAAATACGTTACAAATATCATTCTATCCCAGGTACGAGTTTTTTGTTGAAGTAAGTGGTGCAATTGTTCAAACTGTATAAAAAGTGACCTTTGGTACGAGGTGTACGTCTGTGCTGCATTCAAAACACGCGACTCCGGGTGTCAATATGAGCTCTTTTGAAGTTGCGCAATCTGTTGCAGATTACCTCAAAGACAAGATTCCTTTTCTACCAGAAGTAGGTATTATATGCGGTTCCGGGTTGGGTGGCTTGGCTGAGTTGGTTACAGAGGCTACCATTGTTAAGTACTCTGATATCAAGGAATTCCCTGAAAGCACCGTCGTTGGACATGCGGGCAATCTTGTTTTTGGACATCTTGCCGGCAAAAATGTTGTACTTATGCAAGGGCGCTTTCATCCTTATGAAGGCTATGAGATGTCGAAGGTATGACTAATTCATCCTAATCTGAGCCCTCTAGGTGATCCTTCCTATTCGAGTTATGAGCCTTCTCGGTGTTGAGACCTTAATCGTCACCAATGCCGCTGGTGGTCTGAATCCTGAGTTCAAAGTCGGCGATATGATGATTATCAAGGACCATATCAGCTTGCTTGGTTTAACTGGAAAAAATCCACTTGTTGGTCCAAATGAGTCCCAGTATGTTTAATTCTCTTGGCTAATCCGTAATGTTCTAGATTTGGACCTCGTTTTCCACCAATGAAAGGCTTATATACCAAGGAGTTACGTGAACTTGCGAAGGAGATAGCAATGGAATTGGAAATCGAGCAGTTTCTGCAAGAGGGCGTGTATGTTGCCCAGATGGGTCCTGCTTACGAGACCCCATCCGAGGCCAACTTCTTGCGAATGATTGGTGCCGATGCTGTCGGAATGAGTACCATACACGAAGCAGTCGTCGCAAGGCATGCGGGGATGAAGATCTTTGGTATGTCTCTCATCACCAACAAAGTTGCCCTCGACGAAGACAGTGAGGTTATTTGCAACCACGAGGAGGTTCTTGAAACCAGTGCTAAAAGAGCGGAGATTATGAAAACTTTTGTAGAAAAGCTGGTTGGAAGGCTGTAATGTTGTCTATAATCTAATTGTGTACTTTTCCTATAAGTTTGGTGGACAAAGTACAAGGAATTTATCTCAGAGAACTTGGATTTTTGAAGTCTTTTCCCATTTTCTTTTCGTCGTTTTAGCATTGCTACTGCAGTCACCTTTGCAACTAACGTGCAGATCTAAAGTTACGAGGCAAGTAGAGCCATCTTTAGCAGCTAGCTTACAGGTGTGAGTCTAAACACCTTGATCATGATTATTTTCGCAGTACATTCGAACAACACGAGAATAGTCTTTTTTAATCGGCCATCACGAATGTCTGAAGGTCCTCAATCGATGACACTATTCTCCATGGAACCCGGTACGGGGTTTGTGTATCGTGACTTTATTACAGAGGATTCTGCCGACCCCTCATTAACAAGTAAAATATAAGGACTGTGTCCATTTGATAGCACTGGGATATCACGGGTCCTGAGACTTTTATTATGAGGAAAGTCTGACTTCCGACTGCAATTATCCTCCCTGGCAATGTTGATTTACCTTCCCTTCGCTGCTGGGGCGCTTGCGATTGGTCAGCATGTAAGCTGACAACAGAGTTTTATCCCCCAAGCCAATGACCATGAGGCAACTTCAGACCCACTAACTCCGCCTCTCTAAGGCAAAAGTGGTTTCTCGGTGAACTTTGATGGCCCAACTTTTGACCACTCTTCAAAGAAACGAGATTTACCGGCTAGTAAAATTGATTTAGCCTAACCGCATTACATGAGTCGAAACAGTTGTAATCTTGAGCCGAAGCTGGTGGCCAGACTTCATGAGGCGCATAGAGTGAACGCTATTTAATGGGCACCGCTATTGCAAATCGTTAACAGTTCATCTAGTGGGTAGAGGACACTTTGGATATGGTCAAGCGACCAGCTATTGGGTCTTATTTTCTGTCGCACTGATGCGTTTATAATGTTCAGCAGACTTTTGAGTTAATTCAGGGTTATTGTGAACTGGACATCATTGATTCGTCTTTCTTGAAGTAGAGTAAATTTATTGTAAACATGAAGAAACTGTTAAAAGCGTGCCCACACTAGGTGTCAGTTTAGTAGGGAATCGTCTAAACCTGCAAAGTGGTCTCTACTTGGTAAAAGGCCTCCTCAATTCATTAGAGAGAAATTGTTAAGCACCATATTCCTCATCTTAGATGTTACGTGTATTTTATGGAATTGAGGATCTACATTGAAATTTCAAGGTGACCTAACAACTTGGGCAATTGGGAATTCCATTGGCCGGGGGCCAACACTTCCAGAAGGACAGTTAGGCAATGGACGGAATTTAGACCCCACCAAATGAGTAATGTGGTGGTCTGAGATTTAACACGAGACAAGGAGGGCAGTCAAAGGTGGCAAAATTGCTTCTCCCACAGCTCTGCGGGTATGTTGATGTTACGATTTGTTAGCAGTTAGGAGTTGTTCTGGTGCCATATCAAACATCAAAAACATGTGTGACCGTATGACGAGAGGTCAGCCGACCAAATCTTGAAAAATGCCTTCAAAACAACAGCCGAATGAAACACATATCGCCTCATATGCGAGCTATTTTCATACAAATATGGTGGCACAATCGAAATGGCCAAAAGAGCAGACTTGAAAGGAGCGTGCTGCATCACTGTAGTGTGGTGGATTCCACGCAATTTTGGCAAACAGGTGTTCTCATTATGTGAAGAGGCAATAAATTCTCTAGAGGCCAAATGGGAGAGATATGGAGAGGCAATTACCTGGCATCACCGGCATTCTCTGCAGCCATAATAAGATAAATAACAGTGAAAGAGTTGATACAAACAGCAGCAGCAGCAGTACTGATAGACTACAGACCAGCCATAGTTGAGATTGTCAAAGAGTCTAATTAGAAGACTGCATTTTGCAAACGCAAATAATCCCTCAAAGTCTTGCCACCGACTCTTCCCGGTGTGATGCCTCTGTCCCCTCGGGATAAACTGCACAGTAAATTTTCAGCTTCGCTTCAGATCAGTTCCATGCTGGCACGATAAATTGGTCATTAATGAGGTTGGCGATTACCTCATAGTGGGAGAGTAGAAAGCTCTCCTTGGAGTTAAATGCAATGTCTTAACAGACCCTCTTCCCATATCCTTCAATGAGTAGTCTTGAATCTTTGTGCCACTTTGTGGGGCGCCGATCTCATTTCCGAAGGTATGAGGACCAAAAAGAATTCCCGATCTCATGGCTGGCGCATCTGATATCACCTTTGAACATGGATCCAACGAGCAGGACCATGTCGAACCCGTGTCACGACCTAACCATTAAGGTGAGCCAAAGTTGACCAAATGTACACAGCTAAGCGATTGACCGGAGAGGCCTTGGAACAGCTAGCTGAATGTCAACCTCCCAACACGGTTGCCAAATATGTCTGCCTGAACATGGAAAGTGACAACATGCAAGGCAGGTGCGAGATAGCTGAAACCACATCGTATCTAGAATGCTGCATCAGACGCCCAGCTAAGGTCAACCGGTCAAGCGATTCAAATGTCACATGTTAAAGACATACTTGATTGAAGCACCATATTATACTCAGCTTGTTTACATTTCTTGTGTCTTCTTGGTCCCACGTTTTTCACTGTCTAGTCCTTTTGACATATAATTGTGAAATTTTATGCGTGGTGCCAAGAATTGTGGATTTCTTGCTATGAAAGTTTATTTCACATTCTTTGTGGAGAATGTTGGAACAAGATTTTCGGTACCATCTCTTTCCCATGTCAAAGTGAGTTATACGACGCGCGCCGTGAGGTCATGCCTTCCACTGACTCACCAACCTAGTGAGGAAACAGAAAGAAGGTACGCAAGAGCCTGTTTTTATGCATTGGTGCATAGGTCATATCTATAAACGGGACTTGACTTAGCCTTCAGCGAGTGAACTATTCAAAGCAAAATGTTGTGCTTGCATTGTGCTGTACATGCGTCCACAAAGCATGCGGTGCCCTGTTAGTGAAGTGGTAGGTGACTCAAAAGTACCTGACGATTAGAAAGTAAATTACTTAAAATTGACCCACAATACACACCTCCACTTACCATTTGTCCAATTTCAATGGTCACCTTTCATCACAAACTGGATTGTCATTGGCAAAAGCATATGATACAAAGAACTGAATCCGATTCACTATCGTTGTATTTAACGAAGTGTGATGCAGGAGATTGAATGTTGTTAAGACCAGACGAGCTTGCTAAAGAACATGGACCTCTGAGGAGTCCATCGTCAGGGTCGCAAGTTAAAGAACAGGCGCTTTCAAGTGACCCTGCACTTCACAACTGTCGAGAATTTAGCCTCATAAAGGGAAATAGACGCGATGTAATTGAAGTACATATTCGTGTTTAAAAAGATAAAGAGTATCGTATGTCTCTCATAGATGAAGCATATACTCATGTAGTGACTATCGGCGACAATTGTCTTGCTTACTTCTACAACTCCAAGTCTAATTTAAAATCACGCTACTAACGAAAAATAAGTAGCAAGTATTTACGGTTAGGCTGCTTATGTTCAAATGTCTTGTTGGTTGAAGAGTCGAGCAGAGATGTTCTAACTAATAAAAGGTAGATAAAATAGCAATGATGGCTACGATTATCAATAATGTATAATGTATAATGTATCAATAATGTATAAGGCTAACAAAAGTCAGCACAGTCTGTCGCTCGTCATCTTAAAATTTCGAATCATGTATAGGGGACCGGTCCAAAACCGTGTAATCTATTCCATGGAATGGCAACCTTATGCGCTTGGAAATTTTAATTTTTACAAGTGTCTGTGTTAAGTTATCTGGGACATTCAAAAGTAGAGGGCCAGATTGCTAGCTTTACCATTTACGAAAGTGGATGAGCAACACGTTGACAGAAAAGTCCAAACAGGTTCGACACGACTATTTCATTAACTCATAGATTAATAAAATTATCAGCATTTTTCACACTGTGAGCAATATACAGAGGAAAACACACATCATGATTATTTAATCGTCTGTAGGCTAGCTGCATTTCAAGCTGTCAATTTAGGGTATGACGTGAGTAGCTAAGTCATAAAGTGCAGACCTTGGCGGCATATAAAAGGCAAAGTTGATCCAATAGTGCAACTTTCAAAGCGGAGTAAGAATGGGTTCCTACGTGGATGCAAATGGCGCTGCGGATTACATCAAGTCAAAGGTGCGCCAGACACCACAAGTGGGCATCATTTGTGGTTCTGGATTAGGAAAGCTGGCTGAGATAGTCTCCGATCCAGTCGTTGTCAAGTACTCAGATATTAAGCAATTCCCCAGGAGCACAGTCGTGGGGCACGCTGGCAACCTCGTTTTTGGCAAACTCGCTGGCAAAAATGTCGTTGTCATGCAGGGTCGATTTCATCCCTACGAGGGCTATCCAATGCGTCAGGTAAGGAGCAATTCGGGATTTTACAATTTCCTTAGGTCACTTTGCCCGTGAGAGTGATGAAACTGTTGGGAGTGGAAACGCTCATCGTCACTAACGCAGCAGGTAGTTTGAATCCCGACTACAAAGTGGGAGACCTGATGATAATCAAGGATCACATAAGCTTGCTCGGAATGACTGGTTTGAACCCACTGGTTGGACCAAACGATGAAAGGTAGGCTGATCAACTTCGACTGTTATGTGATAATGCGTTAAACTAGATTTGGACCACGTTTTCCAGCAATGACCAACATTTACACGAAGGAACTACGCGAAATAGCCAAGGCGGTGGGCGCAGAAATGCAAATTGAAGACTTCTTGCGTGAAGGCGTCTACGTGGCTGAGATGGGACCCACTTACGAGACCATCGCAGAAGCGCGATTCCTCAGAATGATTGGTGCTGACGCAGCCGGAATGAGCACTGCACACGAGGCTATTGTTGCCAAACACGCTGGTCTTAAGGTCTTTGCCATGTCTCTCATCACCAACCAAATTGTTGTTGACGAAGACAGTGTGGTCGCCTGCAATCATGAAGAAGTCCTTCAAACTTCTGCCAAACGTGCTGAAGTGATGAAGACATTTGTGATGGGAATGCTGGAGAAAATGTAGACACACCTTCACTTGTCATCAGTCCCTTCATTAGTGGAATCGCTAATTTGCACAAAGTAATCATTCCTTATAAGCTTAAGTGTCATTCTGTTAATAATTACATATTTGACTAAAGGAATGAGTTAGTTTTCTATAGACAGGGGGTTAAGGAATGCGGGATTGTGATATCGACAGTGCGGTCTCATTGAATGACTACTTGATGGAAAGATGGTGTTCTCAGGTGTGCAAAATTGCCATAATTTGTGCCTTTCCATATAACTTATCATGGGCATCTTGCCGGTCCTGTCGCGTTTACCGATCAGTCCGAGAAAGCTGCAAGTTCGAAATCGGGAGGAGCTTCCGTAACCTTCAAGCCAACATTCAAACGCAGAATATTTGTTAAATGTTGGCTTGGGGGTGAACTTTTCGCTGGTTTTAAATGTCGTAAAGCGAGCCACTCTTCAATAGCAGACTTGATTGTGCTCTGGAATCTTCCAGAGTCACCTCGACGGGTACTCCACCACCTCCAGGCAATTTAAAGGGTTGTCATCGGATGAGCAAGGAAGGGTGGTGAAAATGTCACTTCTTCCATACGGCAATCAAAAGTCTTTTGCACATTTCTGACTTTGGCCGTCTGGTGAGAAAAGGCCTTGCATACTCGTGTATTTTAATGAAGTAATCCTTCATGCTTCTTTCAACTCAAAAGACACCCGAGACACCAAACTAGTGTTCTTATTATTAAGTTTCAATGCGCTAAAGGATTCAACGCAAAATCATGGCAAACCAACCGCTGGAAGGCGCTCTTCGAGATTCATCTTACAAAGTCAACAGTCCCAAATGTGGGCGGAAAACTCCCACCTAAAACTTACCTGATGGGTGCGACAAAATCTCTGACTGCTGGCAGATCTGTGAGTCGATCCACCGGAAGTCTGTCCAGTCAAGAGGTGGCCCGTACTCAGGGCGGCATGATAGGAAAGATGAGTCCTCGCAGTTTCAAACAGACATTATTTGTAATATTTGGGGAGCACTCCATGGGTGCGCCTGTAAATCAACTTTTTGAAGGAAAGTTAGATGAAAATGAAGCGAGTTTTCTCAACTCAACACAAATGCGGTGCTGCTTACAAGGTTCGAGTCTCAGACAGCAATTTGGTAAAGAGGAATTGAAGGAGCATCCACACCTTGCATGTCTAGCGTCATCGTTGTTGCTAGTTGCGCAAACACGTCGCGATGGGTGTGACACGATCTCTCACAACGTCATTAAGTGGCACAGGCTACAGCACAAAACAACTTTTTTTAAAATTACGTCTTCATAGTTGGAAGCCGACAGTCTCAGGTCTCTTTCTTGCGCTGGATTAACAGGTCATTCAGTAGGGCGGTCAGCTAAGTGACGACTCTTAAAGTACTTCTTCTGTCAAAATGATCTGAAATTCGAGTTTTAAAGATACATTCTTTGCTAAGCAAACGGAGATTAATCATGTCAGACTCAAAGTGCCGCCGCCCTGGCATTCAGTTTCCGTTCAGTTGCGGATAGGTGATGACTGTGAAATCCATGGCATCCTTAAAATCCCCACTTAATAAGGGAGGGAGCTTTTTAGGCTACGTTCACTAAAGAAGGACTTATTATTACAACTAGTAAATTGTCAAGTGGCAGCACTGGTATTGTCTGACGAGAACACTCTCAAACACGAATCTAATACCGTAGTGGAGGAATAAATTCTTAATCACCTTACCTGTCTTCGTCCTCTGAAACCTCACTCCTCCATTTTCATTTTATGCTTGTTACTGATTTAGTGGATTGCCAGAATTAAATTTATATATGAGGGATAAACATGGGATGGATAACTTAGAGACAAGGGGACCAGGAGCACAAGAAGACATCCACTCCGACCTTCTCAACGTATTATTTTGCTCCAGATCCGGACTGTCAGCAATATTTGCAGTTATTAAATGGTGGAACTTAAGTACTGATGTGTGAATCATTAAAAAAAGCTGTTAGATTTCAGGTTTCTAAACTGCACGATCATTTGAGTTGAAGGTAAAATGAGACAGATGGCGATAACGGGCCCAGTTGGCCCAATCCCTCTGCAAATGCCTAAAGACACCTCTTACACTAGAGGAGGGCAGGTCTACAGTGCCATCCTGAGGAGGAGGTTCCACCCTCTCAACCATGACGACTTTCAAGTAGGTTATGAGACCTTCACACCCAGTTACACTTTGGCATCGGTATACTATTTGTTTTGATAGTTTAACTGTTTAAAGTTCTTGCTTTGCAGTCATCCCCACTACTCGATTTCCTTTCCTGTTTAAACAGAGTAATCAGTGAGTTAAGGACGCATCTGCATTCCACTTGCTCTTAAGTAAATTGTTTCCTTGAACATTCAAAAAAAATTGATAAGTTAGCTTGGGATGCTACTTACCTTCTGCTGGATAACCACATCAAACCATAGTTTAAGCAAAAACCTGCGAAAAAATGCAATACTTTGTTTATGCGACCACATGACATCTCACAGTTACTTGGCTCTCGAGCCAAGCTCAGGTTTAATCCCTTTTCATTACCTGGAATACGCCTATTCAGGCAAACTTGGTAAGAAGTCTCGAGAAGCCACACCGGTGGTGGCAGAAAGCGAGCCCGACATTTTAACAACATACATTTTAGTGTCTACTATTTGTGGCGCATACCTACGGGGTGAAGGAGGTGCATATACGCCGGAAAGGAGAACCTCTGAAATCCTTGCAACAAAAGGGTTAAAAATAATGTCTGTGTTTAACTTCACATTTTCTCCTTATTCCATAGACAAGCCATTTACATCTTAAGCTTCGTATCTAAAGTCCTTCTAATACGTCCGCGCAGAGATGTTGAAAATGAAAATACATCGAAAACGTCTACACACGAGACTGTCTGACCAAGTCTTCCTTGTCTAGTATTTTTTTTGACTCCTATTCCAACCGATAATTAGCAGATGTATACTGCTCTGATTGCGACTTTCGGACTAAACTTAACTCTAGGTCCAGTCGAACCTAAGGAGGCGACCAGATACTGCTCCTCAGTCTCATGCTAGCTGATGACTGGCGTAGCTGGGTTGCGAGTACTTCCTTGTAGTACCAAATGTGTGATGGCTAGTGTGAGCGGTAAGCCAAGAAGAGCATCGAGGACTTTGTAGCATCCCGAGACTTCCCATAGGATGGAAGAAAGCAGTAAGTGAGGCTGGATATATGTATTCCGAAGAAAACAGAGCAAATGGGCCTGAGCATGGCCCGAAGGCCAGCCCACGAGTATAAGAGCCAGATGATTCCTTAAGTGGCCGCCAAATGTCAGGTAGTCACATAAGTAAAGCATTGTAGACGTCGCCTTGTTTATGCGACTATCCGATATTTAGCGGTTACTTTGGGGTTCGTCTTGCCTTCGTAGGTGTGGACCGGCCTTCGGACCAAGCTCGGGCTTAGTACCCGAATCACTCCCTTAAATACATGCATTCTGCCCAATGTGATACCTCCTTCTACATAAATAGGTTAAACGAGTCATCAGTTAAATATAAGAAGTATGAAAATGTATGACTTGGTCTGCGCAGGGGGGCAAAATACAGATTCGGACCTATAAAATTCGTGGTAGAATGCTGTCAAAGCAATTGTAATTTTAATCCAAATGAGAACAGTAGGTAAAGTGTCCTTATTCTTATAACAGTATCAAATACTTGCGATGTCTTAGGTGTTTGGTTGCTGCGGATAACAACTTTGCAATTGGCGGCAGGTATGAAGTCGAATCGGCCACCTATTCGGCTCATTCGGTCTGTAAAAGGTGTGGTTTTCATTCACTGGTGATTATGTCGCGCCATATTCTTTCTTTGAGTGATGACCATGTTCTCATAAATACGACTTTATTAATTATTATTCGTTCTAGAAACAGTGTCATATAGCATATGCTGGTTGTGCAAGGCCTCTAATCTTCATGACCATTGGAGTATTTAGCAGTGTTCCAAAAATCCTGTGTATTGTTTTCTGCTTGCATTTTGCTCTTTTATGTGCGGTAACTGACGCTTTCTTTTTAAACTATTTCTATGCTCACTGGATTTATTTTTTCAAAGTGTTAGTGTTGAAGCCATGTGTTTTATACCACTCCTCCCTTTACTGAAATTCTTTTTCACCAATTCAGGCTTATTTTTGTTCTTACGTGATGTCCGCTGATGCCCATTCTGAGCATCAAATTCAGCGTCTTTTGCTTGATTTAATACCTCCGAATGGTGATTGCGAGGTAGCGCCGAAGCTAGATGTTCAGTGGAGCAAGCATCTTCACAACAAGCTACAGGCACTCAATGTGGTTGGTCCTAAAATATCGTTGAGGATTTCTTTGTAGACTCCTTTCCCATTTGTGTATTTCATCTTTTATCTTTTAGGACTTAGTGTCAATGGGTTTTGTGTCATATCTGCGCACATCGGACCCTCACACTGCCATAATTGATTTCAATGTTCTCATAGCGGCTCTTTATGAACTCTTCGAACTCTATTTACGATGTCTTAATGCACGCGAAGATGCTGACATCAAGTGAGGTTTATCGTTCTCACTTTTTTGTTGGGCCGGTGGATCGTTTTTTTTTTAAATAATTCAAATGCCTTGTAGAATTCGCCGATTAACAGCGGATTTGGAGCACTCGCGGAAAATGCATGATCGCTGCAAAGATGAACTTCAGTCCACACGCGATGCAGTGCATCATGCTAAAGAAAATGAAAGACGAATTGGAGCGGAAAAAGTGACTCTTGCCAATCAGCTTCGGGCTTCTAAGGAGGCTGTAAGTCAATTGCTACTTTGTTTAGCCTGAAAAGTAGCGAATGTTTAAGGTCCTCAGGCTCTATTTTTCCGGCTTAAGCTGTCTTATGGTGGAGGGACCGACTAGTGCTTTTTTATTCCTACATTGTACTATTTCGTTTTTTATTGCTAACTAGTTTGTTCTGAGCAGTTTAGCAAGCTTTTCTACCGGTAATCGATCTGTTCTGCTTCTTTTTGGTCGAATAGCTCGATAGGAGAACATGAATGGGCTATGTGTAGTCACGCGACTAACCTCAGTCTTAGGTAAATTTGTCAGTTTGATGCCAATCAGTTGGGCGGTAAAACGATTGAGTCCGTGTGGTTATGTCGCCAAACGCTGCATTTTGTTTAATAGCGATTGTGTATTATGAAGTACATCGGCGTTGTAAGTCATTTAATCTAGATAGATCTTGCTAAAAATGAACAAACGGCTAACGTACCCGAGTGAACGTCTAGGGCTGGCCATTAGAGAATTCATTCGGAGTAGCTGAGTGCTCATTATTGCTTTTCGACTATTTTATCGGTCGTTTGTTAGGGCCTATAGTTTGTATAATCGGACTAACTTGGTTTTCCTGGCACAAACTAGCCTGTATGGTTCATGCTGGTAGTAGGTTGGTTGAAATTGTCACCTGAGTTGAGAGCTCTTATCGAGATGATGAGCAATGATAGTAGTGCTTAGTGTTCGGTCATGAACAAGTTTCTTTGTAAACGAAAATATTCAAGCGAATTTCTCGGATTTTTGCATTCACGAAGAGTGCTACTTCTGGGTACGGTGAAGGAAACATCAGCTACTCAAAATTACGGCATTTGAATGATTCAAAAAATCACCATGCCTTTTCGTCAGTGACGGTCTCAGACTCACCAGTTCCATTTCTAACTCATCGCAGTAGTCATTCTTGACTCGGTGCAATGTTCATTATGGACTGCTGTGGATGTTGACTGTTGTAGACTTAGTTAGTCGTACCGACTCCAAGGTGTTGACTGGTCGTCGGGGTGACTTTGAAGTGGGAGGAGGTTAAATCAGAAAATATATGCCGTTTCTACTGCCTCACTGACATTTGTCCACTAGCTTTAGGGTCGCAGTCTGACTACTCTTAAGTTGAACTACTGATTATTCAATCTGTCATCCCTCGGGTTGAAATGTTGACATAATAGGCAATGTTAGACTTCCAATAGTAATGTACTACCTGATACAGAAATCGAGGTTGGAAAGGCATGTTGTAGGTTTTATTTTCCACTTCTATCCCATAGTTTCGACGCCACCAATCCGATTCCCAACTGCATAGTGCCCACCTCCAACGCAAAGTGAATAGCCTTGAGAAGGAAGTTGCTGGTCTTAAAAATCGGCTTAACGCCCTCCTTGAGAAACCAATGGTCGTACGTCGCTTCCCTTCCGCTCATGAGACCGTCAGATCTGGCCATCCAAGCAAAATGAGTAGTCAAGTACGTTTTTTTCCTTTAGTTTTAATAGACTGTTTTCCAGTGCGACTGAATTGATGTGGAAGGTCTTAGTCAATGACCACGAACATAGCCTTGACGCGACTCATAATTCAACGCAAAGTATCATCGCACACATTGTCCACTACCTGTCTCGATGCCTTTAGCATACCTAGTGAATCAGTCAGGGGATTTATTTTCAGTTGAGCCGGGTCAATATGCTCTCTCCCTCCGGTTGTTTTTGATTATTGCCCTTGTGTGACTTATGGGAGGACTTCATGCTCTTAATATCAGAAATGGACGAAACTATACAGGGTATTTTTCTCGTTCATCCCTAATGCTTGTACTTTAAGTACCTCGAATAATGTAGGTAGTGCAGTAGTGTGAGCGTTCCGCTATCCAGTCCGGCATTTGGCTACTATGTTTGACGCATCATTTTGAAGCTCTCACTTCTTCACTGCGAGTTTCGTTAGTTTTCCAAGTTCATTTGGCCTAATTTGAAGCTCTTAGCTGCAAGTAACTGTCGATATCTTCTATCCTCTCATAATGCATCGAGTTTGGGCGGTTGTCTTTACGGATGGTGCCATTAGATCCTCTTTCAACGTGGTACTATGTTATGCATGATGTCTTAATTTTCTCTATTGGCTCGCTTCCTACTGCATTGAAATATGCATTAAATACAACCATGTCTGTGCATTCGCAAAGCTTGATATTCTACTTCTATACCTCAGTTTGGGCTGCAATTTGTGACTTCAAATCGAATAGTAACACTGCATGTCGATTTTCTTTGGTATGAAACTTGGGGTTCTAACGCATTCTATGCTCTAACATTTTTCATCCATTCAATTAAAGAATTTCGATCTCGATGCATTTTCATTATTGTTTTGAACTTTCTAATCAGGACTAACTTTGTAGGTTTTGTCCACTGACTAGTTTTATCCAGGTAGATTGTTGCATCCGAGCGGAGACAATGGAAAAGCATCCAATTTTATTAATCCTCTGCATGCAGTCATTGTCGAGGTGCATGTTTTACTTCGTGTAGTAACCATCAGCAGTTTTAACATTTACAAATCAAATATTTGTATGACAAAATGTGACCTGTGAAGCATGTAAGCAGGTCGGCGATGTGCTTTTGCGTTTGTTACACTCTTGAAACTGTAACACGAGGTAAACTAAGGGTGAATATCGGTGGGTCGCAGGCGTATCTGCCTCCGATTCACATTCAAGCTCGGTCACCAGTGTTTTCGCGCTAACCTATGTCGTAAAAGTAGGGCGTTCTCCTCAATAGAAGCTTAATGTAGCGACTAAGTTAAATTGAATAAAACGTGAAAGTAGTTTAGGCTCTTGAAGTTCACAGTTTTAAGCGGCACAAACTATAAATAGCATTTGAACTGTACAATTTTCAACATCGAGGACGTTCTTGAAAGCCGTCTTGATGACTCTGTTGTCAATAGGGTTGCAAAACTGTGTTGACAGCCCAGTAAAAAACAGACACAAATATTACAGGCAAAATTGGCCTCCGCTTGTTGCCTATCCTCTGAATTTGTGATACCTTCAACTATAATGATCGTTGTAGGAAACCCATCAAACCGAAAAAACAAAACTACCCAAAATCAGTACCTCAAGGTCTCCTCGATATATCTATTGGAGGCAAAATTGTGTCATCCTACGATGGTAAAGTTGATCGGTCATTGTATTTGCACCTTTTAGCTCGATCGAACGCGCAACGTGCGCAATCGCGAAAACGACCTGTTTTACGAAAACAGAGAGCTGCGAGACCTCGTTTCTGTCCTCTCTACTCGAATTCTTCGATTCACTCGACACCTATGCCGAAAAAGGCGTCGCCATCAGTTACTTGTAGGGACATCGGAAGCGCAGCTGGAGGTTAACGAGGAAGAAGAGGAGGAAGAAGAGACATCTTTGGACGGGGAAAGCGATGCTGACACATATTCTGATTCTTCCGTGTGTGGTAAGTTTCGTAAATCAACCGAATTATTTTTTCCACCCATTATTGTCTCCGTGCCCACAATTTGACGATTCACCCAGTCACGGAGTGGTATGATTGTATAATCAAAATCTAACGAGACATGCTTTTTAGAAGGAGTGTTTCAAAAGACTAATTTTTAAGTGGTATAACATTGCCATATCATTAATAACGGAACTTCTTCAAATATCTAGTCTTGAGAGATTTCTGCTTTCTCCTTTTTAACTGTCCCCAAATGGTTCCTCTCTATTATTTTTAAAAGTGGGGTTTTTAGTAGTGTGCTGGACATGAATTGACATTGAAATTGGGAGTAGTAACAGCGGACGCTGAAGTGAATGTTGATCACATCGTGTCAGCCGGTGGACTTTCACCATGGCACTTATTAGCAAATGTCGGCCCCGTATTACACAGCTTTCGGTTCCTGAGGCGTATATTGCGGATCTGGAAATTAGCGGTTGTGCTACCTTCATGGTGTGGCCGCTGATGATGGGCAAAGTTCCTTGCAAGAGGAAACGTTAAGCCAAGGTTAGTGCGTGCTCACTTGGATCCTCACCTGGATAAACTGTAGGTACGCTGATGGAAAGGCTTAATTAAATGGTGTTAACCTCTCGACTACGGCCATACATCCGTGCCACAATAGAATTTCCGCTTGTGAGTTTTTAGCCTACAAGAATCATTTTGCCCGGGTAGTCGGATCATAGTCTGTTGCGGGGCGGCGAAGGCGACTGGCCTCTCAGTCGCGGCGGCAAGTTGATGCCTGAGGGTTGTAATCTTTGAAAAGTTTGCACACGCTCTACACTGGATTTGCCTTTCTCGAAGGTCTACGTTTCACCGTTGATGTCAAAGTAAAGTGGATCTCCTTCAGACGTTTCGGAGATAGTTGCAAAGCCTTCTGTGCCGAGTCTTTTCAAGCACTTGATAAACACCGGAACAAGTTTACTTACAGACTTTCTAAATGTCCGTATTAGCAGCTGTTTTTCATCCACTAATCTGGAGCAACTCCGAGTTTTGAGACACTCGACCTCACGTCAATAAGTAAAACTGCTTTTTTTCTGCTATTTCGAAAATTAAAGCATCGATGCAGTCACAACTCTCCGATATGCAATGTCAACGTCGTCAATCAGCGAATGTACGACATTTGCTGCTGGAACTACCATTCCATTTGGTTCGTGACCAGTTGGTCTGTCGAGTGCACCGTCTCTGCCGTCGTCTGTGGCGTGAAATCAAAGCCGTGGGATCGTTCGAAGGAGGTGAGTCCTGAGTGTTACAAATAACTGTTCATGTCAACGAAGAGATCAATTTGTGATAGGAAAAGAAATGGCTCATTAGGAGTGTATAGTTGTGGGACAGTAAAGATTGTTGCAATCACAGCAACGTCGGAAGAGGTTTTGCCGAGGAGAGGGATTCAACAATCCTTTTGACAGGCGAATAGGTAGATGTGAAGTTGGATGATTTTGTATTTATCTAATTAATAGAACTTCAAGGTGTGATTTGGTTCTGACTATCTTAAATTCCTTATCGTTAGTTCCCGAAGCCTCCGCAGTGGGCCTCACTTTATGCTTCTGTCTTTGAAAATCAGATTCGCCTATATCGTAGGGGTGGATGGTTGCACAAGAATGTATGCAGTTTATTGTTCACCCTTTTGATTCTCTTAGTTGAGTTGCCATTTTATGGCCCACGTTTGATACGAGTACAATTCTTCGACTCCTTCGGAACAATTGACCGAACATGTCGTCAAGCGCGAATTAGAGCAGCTTCTTGTTTAAAGGGAGGTTGGTCAACCCCTTGGTGTGGCTGGGTGGGGATCAAAGACTTCAATTTTGGCGCCATGTTTTCCACTCTATTTGATGTAAAGCATTGGTTTTTTTTGTTTTGAAGCACTTCCATTATCAAAATGGACTGGAGGATTGGGCGCCGTTAATGGGGAAGCATTATCAACGGATGAAGTCTCCGTTGAACATCATTTGCAGGAACAGCTAAGTCGATGCAAATTAGATTCGGCACAATGTGAACAAGAATGGAAAGGTGATGATCTACTCATGGTAAGTCAGTAGCTTGCTCGCACTAATAATTTTGATAACACTTTTTACACTTTGGTATGCATTTTAGCCACCGTTCGTGTCACTCCCACCTTTAAACGAGGAGGCTGTCAATGATGATGTGTCACTACCAAAAAATGGTATAGCTGATGAGGTGAGTGATAAACCAACCACAATTTTATGGCATTTAAAATTTATTTTCCCGTCTTCTTTTTCAAGACCGTGATTTTCGATAACGAGACAGAGCCTCGAACTTCCATAAGTGATTGCTCTGGTAAGATTGACGAAAAACAGGTACGATCTCTTTACTGTTTGAATTTTTGGTACCATTGACATTAGATTACGAGATTGGAATTGCGTTTTTTGCCCTTGACAGATGGAGGCATTATCGAAGTAATCTTCACACTATTACCTCGAAGAATTGTTGAAAACCTCTAGAAGAGGAGACATTTGTCCCAGTCGACCAAGTTCAAAATTTTTTCAACAGCTGTTTCATTTATTTGTGGTATGAAATGAAGTTGTTTAATTGTGTATGATCTTTTCACTGTTTGTGGAGTGCTTAGGCAGCCTTCAAGTTATAGCCACGGATGCTAGGAGGCACAAAAGCCTGGGAGAAAATGCGAACATGCAGACCAAAGGGGAAGATTCTGGAAAGATCTCTTAGGCAAAATTTGCTACTACAACTAATGTTGTCTGGTTTCGATAGATTTTCGTATTTATCATCACTCTGTGATGTTTCTTCTAGTCAGGCTACATTTACCTCAAAACATACGGCGGTGGACTTGTTCCCTATCCCTGCTAGTTCATCATTCTTTACAGCTATCTGCTACGTAAGCATGTCCTGAGTTCTAAACTTCAAATTCTATCTGGCAATGACTTCTGTTATGGTTGACTTGTGTCAATTCACGCACGATTGCGCTCCACCGTCAAGTGATCCTAAAAGCTGGCCATCGAAGACTGACTGTAGAAGTCCCTTTTCCATGTTGCCCTTGGAAACGCGTCCTTTCGAATCTCATTGCCAAATTTTGGGAAAAACTCGACCATCTTCCAGTCGAAACACTAATGTTAACCACTACGTGAAATCCTTTCATTATTACCCACTTTAGATTTAAACTGGGACCTCTCCTCTCCTACCTCTCCTTAGTTTACTACAGCCTTTACAATATTTGCCATTCATTGTAGTTCGGCATCATGGCATTTTGAGAGTCAAATGTCAATTTTCTCTGGCGGGACGGTTTTGGGGTGATTGTTTCTATCATCAGTGTCATGTAGTTGATGGTTAGTTGTCAACACTCCGAGCTATTTTCGACCTCTATTTCTGGTTTTTTGTGGATGCCAGTTTGGGCTATCGTTGGCTTCGAGATTAATGAATCAAAGCCTCCGTTCTCATGAAATGCACGATTGTGTCAACTCATTAATTATCCTCTACGTCGGTAGTTAACCTTCTCCACTTGGTTATACCACACCGTTGCGATAGTGATAACTTGGATGCTATCATGGCGTCCACCTCCAAGACTCAGCAGCCTAAGCTTTAAGCGTGTTCTGGCTTCATTGTTAACGGCTATAGGAGTCTAAGACCTAGGATCTATGTCCAGACTAATGTTTACACCCACTGATTGACGTCCTTACAGTTGAAGCGTTAATTTTACGAAACCACACCCATTAACCGGAAGCATAGTTTTGGGGGCACCGCCTTTTGTAAACAGGTGCTAGGGGTGCGCCCTCTGGTGTAAAGCGTGAGATCTGCACCTCACCGTCCTCGCCCAACTTTTCTGCTCGTTCCAAATGTATGAGGATGGAGGTGAAGGGGAGTAGCATAGAACCCGTTGAATAAAAGAACTACTTATCCTCCTAACAAATGCCCATGAATCTTGTGCTAATAATTCTTAGATGTACTTTTTTGGCACTGGAATTCGGTGTTTGGTATTAGTGAATAGTTGTTGAATGAGGTTGCGACTTCATCGTCGTTGAATTTTTATGCATTGCCATTACCCACTGCAGAGATGCATATGCCCAGCGCATAGCAATTGAGTAGTTCAAACAAGACCTTGGAAGCAAGCAAATTAGTACCAACGGTGGTTCTTCTACACCGTGATCATCAAGTTAACTTGTAAGTCTGCATCACGCCGCCGGCACGAGTCATAGATACAGAACTGCTTGAAAACGAGTGATCGGCGTTGCTGTTATTTCACTACTGCAAGAGTCCATTCGAAGCACTGCTCTGCTACTCGTCCTCCGCTTATGGCCAAAGGATTTATGGTTGATGAAAAGGAGGGGAGCGATCATTGGTCAAATCCCATTCCAATCCTCTATTTACTCTCGTTACTCTACAACCAATTCGGTTTCTTTGGTACGATTCATTTAACTGCGTGTAATTTGTTCCTCAGTCGACTTCTACTTTAGCTCTCTATCTTGGGGACATGCTACATACAAATGCCTGCCTTTCGGATCATCCCACTAAGGCCAAGATGGAAATGGAGAATGATGTGGCCTCAAACTAAATGATAAGTCAACCATTTCATGAACTAACAACAGGTGCCTTTGGTGCAGTACTCTTAATGCATTGCGTTCACTCTGCCTCCTTCCATTACCAAAGCTCGGAAGGGCTGATAGTGATGCTTTCATATAGGATCGCATAACTGTCCAATTCCATTCTCTCTGTTGGTCACCATTAAATTTGCATTTAAATTAAAAGCGATAATAGCGCTTGCAGCGACGGCGCCTTCGTCGGTGTTTAATAGATGAAGGTGCAATTCTCAGCGCCTTGGCTGCGCGGCAGCTAATCAAGAGCCAATCCTTCGGATACTTATCTCGCAGGTCCATTGTCGAGCTGACGGAATTGAGAAATTGAATGCCAAATTTGATAAACCGAAAAAACAACTGGATGATGTTAAAAGATTGTTTGAGTCATTTGATCTTAGAACAGATTGATGAATGAGTTGAGGTTGTTCAAATAAAACTGAAATGAATGGACGAGCTTCGGGTGGATGTTGCAGAGCTAGGTTTATCGGTCAGCTGCTAAATGAGAGTTGGAATGCAAAAAAACTTATCAAGAGGAGGTGAAGGAATGGGTCAGATGCTCACAATTGGTGTGCTGGAGTAACGCCCAACGATTGAATCAATTCCTCACCGAAAGGGTTGAATAAATAGACGAGGTCAAAGACAACTGTCAGATAAACTTGACCTTTGGCAATTGCTAATGGAAATGGAGTTAGCACATGGACAAAGAAAATGATCCAATCAGAATGTGATCGGCTGATCTACATCGTAGACAGAGATTTGTCACATGAAATCACACTCCATGTGGCCTTAATCACTTACCGTCATAATTTATTTACTTCGGAGGCGTATACAGTTCATTCTGCCAATTCAAGCTTTTACGTTGGCTGCAGTAGAATGATGTGTAGAGTGCAGCTATATAAATTCACCAGTTGATCAGCAATAATGATTGAAATTCAGTCTTTCGAGAGGTCACAATGGGGTCTTATGCTGATGTACAAGCCGCTGCAGAATACATTAAGTCAAAGGTGTTACTACCACCTCGGTTTGGCATTATCTGCGGTTCTGGACTGGGAAAGCTGGCTGAGTTAGTCGTAGAACCCATCGTTGTTAAGTATGCCGACATCAAGCAATTCCCCATCAGCACTGTCAAAGGCCATCCCGGTAACCTCGT